ATTTCTGCGGAAGCATGAGGACCTGAGTTTGATCTCTAGCACAAGTAAACGCTGGCATTCTGGTGGCACACTTTTAATCCCAGGACAGGGGAGGGGTGGGACAGAATAGCACTAGCCTAGCAGAGGTCAATGCATTCCAAGTTCATTGTTCATTAAGAAACCCTTCTCAAATACTAATGTGGGGCATGATTGAAGAAGACACTCAACATTGACCTCTGGCTGTATGTGAACATGCACCTGCACTCACACACAAAAGAAGAAAAGAATATTCCTAAAAACAAAAACAAAGTTAACTGTTAATTGATCCTTCTCTGGCAGGCCTTGCCCTTCTCCCCAATTCCCTCTGCCTTGCTAGAACCTGTTAGATTACTCCCCCCCCCCCCCAGTATATTCCCTTATTTGGGCACTTCCTCCTCCTCAGGCTGATTAGGAAGGTCCACATATTAAAGTACTGAAGTACAGCAATTGGCAGCCCACTTTGCCTCACCTAATTTACACACCCAATTAAAATTAAATACCCTGCCCTCTGTCCCTCTGGGGCAAACAAATCTCCTTTGTTCTGAGAACTTGGTCTTGGGGGTCCTGAGCTGATACTTCTTTCAGAATGCAGGAAATTAACAGTTAACTGTTGAACTTGGGTCCAAAGAAAAACTGGTTATCCAAGGATTTAACTTTAGCCAGAACTAATAAAAATATTAAATAATTAAAATGTTAATTTTCAATTTTCTTCCTGATGGAAAGATTTGTGCCTGGTTCTGCTAAATATTAATGTGGGAAGTGGCAAATATCTGCCACATTAAAATGTTAATCCTGGAAACCAAGACTAAAAATTCCTTTAGATTATTGCTATGTTTTTTATGGTTATAAAATTAAAATAGGTATGTCCTCAACATCTTTGTTTCTCTGTGTTCTCTATGTTTGGATCCAGTGAAACCCAAATGGCTCAGAAGAGCCCCAGAAGACTACAACTCATGTCAGCCTTTGTCATCATATAGCAGAGGCCCAAATAACAGAACTCCAACATCATAAAAGCCCTGTTGTGGTTTGAATGTGCAAATTTTTCCATAGGCTCAAATGTTTATCACTTGGTGTTGGAGGACTGTGAAAACTTTAGGATGGGAACCTTGCTAAAAGAAGTGGGTTAGCAGGGGTTGGCCTTGAGGGTGTTTAGCCTAGCTTCATTTCCTGTCATCTCTGCCTCATAATTGTGGACACAATGTGACTAGTTACTTCACATCTCTTCTTTAACTGTGAGCCCCAAATCACTTATATTTCTTCTTGTCATGTATTTGATTGTAACAACAAGAAAAGTAACAAATACATTCCCAAATGGTTCATCAAAACTTGAACAGCTCAAAACAGCCTCCAAGCCAAGAGGAATATAAACTTGGAGGTGCATTAACTAGGGAGAAATTAACAAAGGCCAGACATCATCAAGAGTCCAAAACAGGAGTTGGAGGGCTAGCTTAGGGATTAAAAGCAATTGCACTTGTAGAAGACCTGGGTTTGGTTCCCAGCACCCACTTTAGGTGGCTCGCAACTGGCTGTAACTTCAGTGCCAGCAGATCTAACTCCCTCTTTTTGGCCACTGCAGGTGCCTGCACAAACATGGTGCACATAAAGTCATACAGGCACACATGCACACATTAAAAAAAAACTTCAATAATATAAATACTGCTTAACTAAATAAGGGCAGAAATTTAAAAAGTTGTTACCAGTAGCTATTCCTTAAAAGGATAAATAAAATTGCCAGAGGGCCCAACAATCCCATCACTAGGTATATACACAAAAGGACTAAATGCAGGAACTCAGGCAGGTAAGCATATATCAATAATCAACATAGAATTATCCAAAAATAATCAAGCATCTTGCGTATCAACATATAAATGGATAAACCCATATATTCATATTCATCTATAGAAAAGAATGAAATTCTGGTATTCACAAATCATGGATGAATTTTGGCAACTAGATTATCAAGGTTAATAAGCCAAGTGAAAATACCACGCTTATCTGAAAAAGAATATACAAGCCATTGGAAACAAAGTAGACTAGAAGTCACCAGGTGTGATGCTTGATTTTAATTATCAACTTGATATAATCACTTGGGTAGACAGTCTTAGTGAGGCACATTGGGTGCCACTTATGGAAGGAGCTTCCCGCCGCTCGGCTCCCAGCTAGTTTTATCCAAAATAATTACACAGAAACTGTATTCATTTAAACACCGTTTGGCCCATTATATCTAGCCTCTTCTTGGCTAACTCTCTTAATTAACCCATTTCTAATAATCTGTATATCACCACGTGACTGTGGCTTACCGGGAAGATTCTAACCTACGTCCATCTCGGGCCAGAGCTTCATGGCATCTGCCTCACTGCCTTCTACCCAGCATCCTGTTCTGTCTACTCCACCTACGCAATTTTCTGCCCTATTAAAAGGCCAGGGCAGTTTCTTTATTTGACCAATGAAAGTAACATATAGACAGAAGGCCCATCTACATCAGATTGGTCTGTCTGTAGGAAACTGTCTTAATTGCCTTAATTAATGCAGACAAATCCAGCCTGAATGCAGGCAGCAATATTCTCCTTAGAAAGGTAGAGAAAACTTTCTATGCAATAAGTGTAAGCATGCATCTCTTTCTGTTCTTGACCATGATGTAATACGACTATCACAAAAAAGAAACTAGAACACCAAGAGGATTAAAGGAAGGAAGAATGGGGAGTTATTACTTAATGGTATATGACCAAAAATCTGAGATAACTCAACTTAGAGGTACAAAGAGGTCTACTTGGCTGGTGGTTTCAGAGGTTTGAGCTCAAGATTATCTATCTCTGTTGCTTTCTAGCCTGTGGAAAGGCTAATTATTTTAGCAGAGAGTGCATGGGGAGCAGCCTGATTCACCTCACAGAGGCAAGGAACCAAAGAGAGGAGAGTGCCAGGGTACCCACATCCTGTGGCATATCCCCAATGATCCGACTTCTTCCCACAGGCACTTCCCACAGCTTCCAGCACTTTCCTAAAGTGTTATGGCCGGGAGAATAAGCTCTCAGTACATGGACCTCTAGGGACATTCAAGATACAAACTGTGGAATGGAAAAGGAGTTTCTGTTGGGAGTTCTGCAAAGGTTTTGGAAATTGGTAATAGTAAAAAGATTGCAAATGTAACAAAAGTCACTTAATTTGACATATAAAACACACGCGCACACACACGATTGTTACTAGGAAGTGTCTGTTTCTCAAAGGAAAAGAAAAACTTTTAGCAGAAGAGAAAGAACTATTAAATAAAGCCCAAACAACAACTTCTGTCAGAGGCAACCTGACTACTGTGGTCACCTTTAAAAAGGGACCTTTAAAAGTCACTCTAATGTGGCTGCACAGTGTTCAGCTTTATTCGGAAATAAAATATGAGGAGGCGGCAGAGAGGCAGGTTCTGACAGGATTTCCTGCCTCCTTGCCTGCTATATCTAATTCTTTTTGTACATTTCTTCAACATTAAAGTGATACAAGCAATAAACTGGAAGCCCCTTGAAGCAATGCTTGTTATCAGTGCTATTTTATCTCATTTTGAGAACATGATCTGCACCTGGAACTCAGCATACAATGTCAATCTTATTTGTACCAGATCAGCAGAAAGCTGTTAATTCCATTTAAAATTGTGCTCCTAGTGAACTGCCCTACTGCTCAGCTCAGCTTACACCATGATAAACATTCAGTTTCCGGTCCCCAGTGGAGAGCAGCTCACCTAGCCTGTTCTCATGGATGCTGTATACTCCAGTCATGCATGCGTCCACAGGTTCTAAGGCACCCTACACCTGCAAGTCTATTACAGGTGAAGACTATGCCCAGGTCAGGGTTCATGGGCAGCCCTGGCTTTGCTGGGGAGTGAAGTAAAAATGCCATTACCCATCTCTAGAAACAAGAAAATTGGTAACAAAGAGATCAGCCACACTATCACTCCCTGAATCGGTAAGATGTCACTGTGAATAGGAAGCCAGAAGGCCAACACCAACACATACACACCTAACAAACAAAACCCCAAACCCAAAACAGGAGAAAACCTTTTTCTATGTTGTTATTTTTGTTTTTGTTTGTTTGTTTGCTTGCTTTTGGAGACAAGGTCTCCTTAGTACTGGCTGGTCTTGAACTTGTAATCCTCCTGTTTCGGGCTGCTAGTACACCTGGGATAACAGGTGAGCACCGTCATGTGCAGTTTCTGATCTGAAGAGGGCTACTGCAGGACATGAGGACTTAAAGAACTTGGGAAGGGGTCCTGGGGAAGTCAAAATGACAGATGGGCTGCCAGTAGCGCAGACCACAGCAGCCTGAAAACAGATAATTCACCTAAAGCGCCCAACAGCTCCCTTCTGCAGCTGTGCCAGCAAGACTTTCCTAAGGGAGGTCCTTGGCCCTGTAACATTTAGTTTAATAAGTTTATTTGGACCTATATATCCTTTTCACAGTCTCCCTCAGTGGTGACATCTGGCAAGTGTCTTATCATGGAGTTCGCCCCTCAACACAAAAGTTCTTTTTATAGTCACAGCCATTTCCCCTCCAAAATCTTCCAACCACCACTCTGATTCACCATTCCTGTTAAATTGCTCTTCTGAGAAACAGAATCAGGAAACACATTAATTTTCGGGGAATGAGTTGCCCCTAATCTGGGAAATTCCCTGCGGACTGGAGCTGGGTATATTCACAACTCATTCCTTTTTTGATTGCCTAGTAGCACACTGTGGGAGTTTTGTTCTGTTTTACCCGTATATATTCAAAGGCTGTGTGCGTGATAAAGTACGAAGCAGGAGGGCGCTTCTACCCTTCTTCCAGTACAGTCTTCCTGACAGTCTTCAGCAGAGCTAAACTGGTCCTGCCCACAACCACTGGAACTTAGCACGGGGGGGGGGGGGGGGGGGGAGGGGGAGCGGCGGGGGACGTGAAGGGAGGGAAGACCGAAGCCCAGTGAGCCCGCCAGAGGACACTGTGAGGGCGGGGCGAGGGGTGGAGCCCAGTGGGGGAAGCGGGCCCTGAATCCCAGTGCGCAGCCGCAGATGCTGGCTTTAGGCATTCCTGCCCTGGAATCTGGTGGTGTCTGCAGTGTGCGCAGTGCTCCCCACTGAAGACCGAGGTGAGAGTGTCTGTTTACTGCTTTCCCGGGGCGCGCACGTCTTTCCAGCAAGCAACCTTGGGGCCTTGGGGAATGCTGGACCGACGAGACCCCTTCTATTTTTTAGCTTGAGAATTAGACCTTGTGTCCCTGAGGTTCCTCGCACTTCGCACCTTTGAATAGCAGTAGACTTACCACATCAGGCCCAGGTCCTGCTTAAGACAAACGGTTGCATTCTGTCAGCCCACTTCTGGATAGAGAGCAGCTGTGGGTCTCTGCATATTTACTACCAAAGGATAAAAGTCAAAGTTGAGCCCAGAGCTAAGTTTGTATATGGTGCCTTCTCTTTCCTGGTGCCTTCAAGCAGCTGCTGTTCACACTGCCTTTAAGGACTCTGGCTCAAAAGAAATAATCAGTTTCTGTAACTATTAATGTGAAATTATCAGTTTCGGTAACCTCTAATCTCTGGAAATCTCAGTCAGAGAAATACAGAAAACTGAATTTGTGTGAATCATAGAAACTTCTAGTAGCATGACGTATAGCTAGGGATGGGGGGGGGTATTTTGGGAGGCCATAACCTAAGTGAGCACAGAAGACAGGCACGCAATGATATCACTACAGGATGACATGTTAGCTCCTAGAATGGCCACCATAGAGCCTGTCTGTGTAAAAGAAAGAGGCATAGTAAATGATACTGTGAAAATATCAAAATAGCTGCTGGGTGTTAAGACAAAATTACATTTATCTCTAAGTATCAGAGCTCATTTCATGTGGCTTGTTGGTTAACAACCACAGCATCCCACCAAAAACAAAACAACAGCAGAAACAAAACTAAACACCTGGGAAATGTGCAGTTCCCACCTAAGGAGAGCTCTTAAAGCACCTCTGAACCTGAGGATGGAGAGCCTGTGTCAGGAGACAGCTGTGTTCCTTCCCGTTTCTTCTGTTAGGAGAGTAGGAGAGTTGAGTAAGAGGAAATTCAACTCGGATGCTCACTCCCGCCCTCTATTTCCTGTAAATGTGTAAACTGGGCTGAGCAGGACAGCTAGGCTGGTGAAGCCAGGAGAGGCCTAAGAGAGTCTAGTGTGCCTAAGGCGCTGCAGTGAAAGCCCCAACTAAAGAGGCTCTGGTCCCAAACTTGGGAAATCTCAGGATGTACTTTGTTCATCTGCAGTAGCTCTGGAAACCGCTGCCTGAGGTCTGCTGATACTCCTAGGATAAAATCTTGACTCTGCCCTTTACTTGGTCATTCCCCATCGATCTCCCTGACTGCATTCCCGACCACTCATTTCAGATCACAGCTCAACTAAATAACCTTTCTTCCTGTTTCTGGAACTTTCCAAATCAGTTCCCACCAGGTCCTTACTTGATTGCCTGTCCTGCCTGCCTTCCCTTCCCTTCCCTTCCCTTCCCTGCCTGCCTGCCTTCCCTGCCCTGCCCTGCCCTGCCTTGCCCTGCCTGCCTGCCTTCCCTGCCCTGCCTTGTCTTGCCCTGCCTTGCCTTGCCCTGCCCTGCCTTGCCCTGACTGCCTGTCTGCCTGCCTGTCTGCCTGCCTGCCCGGCCTACCTGGACTTCTCTCTTGCTCCAGGTTTTTTCATGCTAAGAAGGAAATCTTGGTATGCAGGAAGGCTAGCTGAGGAGACACCATTCAAATTTTTATCTGTGGTTCCTTTCCCAGGAGTTCTTCTATAGCTGCCTACATGGAAAGTTCAAGTCCTTCCAGAAAACACAAAAAAGACAAAAGAAAAAGAAAAGAAAAAGAAAAAAAAAAAGCACTGGCTTGGCATTGTATGTGGTTTATACCAGGAAGCCCACTTCTCCAGAGGTTGACTCTCCCTCTGAGAAGCTGTTGTTTAGATGTGTTTGTGAAACAGTCACTGTGAGGCCTACAGTTGGTATCCTAACCTCAGTTCTATCTTCCATTCCTCCCCTGGGATTTTCTCTTCCAGAGTCTTAAAATCACCAAGAAGAGTGACAGTACCTGAAGCTCCAGTCTGCTGTATCAAATCAAAGAACCCATCTCTTCCAACATGGCAGGTGATGATCTGTTATGAAGTGTTAGAGTTTTAGCCAGAAATTGTATCATTTGTCATTAAAAATTCTAAGCAACATAGATGCATATATAAACCCTTCTGGTTTATGACATGGATCATTGTGTGTAATTATTTTCTTTCATATTTTTTACTTTGCCCATTTCAGCCTCCTCCTAAAAAAGTGGGGCATATGCCTATCCTGCCTTTGTCAAAAACCATGCTTGAGACAAAAAGTTCCCAAAAAAGGGGGAACTGAGGAAATGGGATTTTTAGACCAAGCTTTGATTCCATCTTTACTTTTCCCCTCCTTTTGCAGTACTGGGGACCAGACCCAGCAGCACATGCCCCAGAAGCACATGTTCTACCACTGAGTCACACCTCCAGTGGTTCTGTGTCTGCTTATTACATATATGCACACAGCAGGGACACATATAATTTTACAACTCACTTTTTTTACTCAGTAATATGTAACATTGTAACTGTTTCACTTTAAACATGTAGAGTTACCTCATTTTACATGTTATAGTGCAGATTTTGGTTTTCCCTTTGCTTTTACAATATTTATTTATTTATGCATGCCAGAAAAGCACTCTGCTAAGCTTTATTTTGTCATTTTGTCCCTCGTACCTATCTTTGGATTTTTCACTCCTGGTACTACTGATATTTGAGACCAGATCTGTTGTGAGGGTGCCATCTTATAGCATGTTTAGCACTGTCTCTGGGCTGTACCCCTTAGATGCTAGAAGCACTCCATCTGCCAGTGATGACAATTAGAAATCTCATCTTTGACAGCTGTGCCTGTGACTGGTAACCTTACCCCTAATTGAGAAACACTGATGTAGGTATTTTCATTTAACACTTGGCCCTAATTGAGAAACACTGATGTAGGTATTTTCATTTATATTCATTCTCTTGGCAAGCCCTCCAAGTGCAGTTCCTTTATAACACTGGAGCATTGGAAAGTGAAATAAAACTTAATAGTTAATCCAACCCATGGAATTCAACCTTTACACTCAGATGAGTGCCCTGAAACTGTTTGCTTCAAGCTAACATGTGTTTTCTGTCCAGGGCCCTAGACCAGAAAGTCCCAATCAAGAGTTTTAACGTCTTAGTGGCAGAGAGATTGTCAGTCAAGTGCCCGCCAAACACACACGAGACCTGAGTTCAGATTTCTAGCACCCACACAAAAGCCAGGCAGAGGATCACTCATCTGAAACCCCAGCACACAGAAAGAGGCGTCCCTGGAGCTCTGTCCTGCCAGTCTAGCCAAATAGTTCAATGAGGGACTGTTTCAAAAGGTAAGGTAGAAAGCCACTGAAAAGGACACCTGACACAGACCTCTGGCCTCTATACACATGTGCACATAGGTGTACTCACATTCCAAGAGTTTTACTGTATGTATGTGTATGTACATATGCAAGTGCACATGTATGTGTGGGCCCATGAGAAGGCCAAAGGTTGATACTGGATATCATCCTCACTCACTCTCCATCTGATTTTTTAAAGTTATTTTATTATGTATATGAGTGTCTATGTATGTCTCATATGTATGTCTATGTGTCTACTGCGTGCATGTCTGGTACCCACAGATGTCAGAAGAGGGCATTGGATTCCTGCAACTACAGTACAAGTGATTGTGAGTGGAACCCAGGACCTCTGGAAGTGCAGCCACTATTCCATCTTTCCAGTCCCCCCGACCTTATATTTTAATTAAGTACAGGGTCTGTAAGGAATCTGCAGCACACTGACTGACCTAGACTGGTTAGCCACCGAGCTCCCAGTATACATGGACATAAGCTGACACTTTGGGATTTTTGGCTGAGTACTAGAATCCAAATTCAGATCCTCAAGCTTATTCATGACAGAAACAGTGCCTTCATGGCTGGCTCTTAGAATTTGTAATAGAACTAAAATGTTCATTATTTTATCAGCCATTAAAAAAATTGCTGATTCTTTTGATTCAATGCAGTTATGTTCCTATACATCACTTTTGCCCTAGCCATCACCAAGTTTTAACAGAAAGATGTGCTCTTCAAAGAAAACATTTCTTCCCTTGATACAGGTAAGAAAGTGCTCATCATCTATGCACACCAAGAACCCATGTCCCTCAATGGGTCCCTGAAGAATGTGGCTGTTGAAGAACTGAGCAAGCAAGGATGCACAGTCACTGTGTCTGACTTATATGCCATGAACTTTGAGCCGAGGGCCACAAGAAATGATATCACTGGTGAGTACATGGGGTAAATCATCTGTCTTAAAATTTTCTGTGTTTTGGCCAGGTGGTGGTGGTGCATGCCTTTAATCCCAGCACTCAGGAGGCAGAGGCAGGAGGATCTCTGTGAGTTTGAGGCCAGCCTGGTCTACTGGAGCTAGTTCCAGGACAGGCTCCAAAGCTACAGAGAAACCCTGTCTTGAAAAAAAAGAGTTAACAATATCTAACTGTTGCCCCATGACCTCAAGTCTCAGGTCAAAGAGTCCTGATACCAGACTCTGTCATCCCTGTCCCCTAGCACCCAATTCTTCTGTTCCCAAGGTAGTGAGGTTTCCTTTTTGTTGTTTGTTTGTTTTTTGCCCCACGGGTTTCTTTTAAAAGAAAGATTAATCTATTTTTATTATGTGCATGTCTATGTGAGCGTAGGTGCATATGGATGTGGTTGTCTGCAGAGGCCAGAAGTGAGCATTGGATACCCTGGAGCTAGAGTTACAGGCAGCTGTGAGCCTCTGGACATTGGTGATAGGACCTAAATATGGGTCAAATATACAAAACCAGTATGTGTTACCTCTCCAGCCCCATTTTCTGTATTTTCAGAGATATCTGTGCTATGTACGCAAGTATGAGGGTAGCATTAGTCTGCTTCCTTATCTCTCACAGAACACTTAACCAGCTTGCGAAGAGATTGTTCTGGGCTTGCAGTTCTAGGACAGTGGCTAGATCCATTTGGATCATTGCTGCAGTAGCTTGTAAGTACCTGGGAAATTGAGCACATGAAACTATTTCTGGGGAAACAGCTTCTTATCATTTGAACATTTCCATAAGATCAGGCTGTAGGCAAGCCAGTAGGGCATTGTCTTAATTAGTGACTGGGGTGGGGGGCAGCACGTGTGAGTTGGTCCACTCCTGTGCTGCTGGTCCTGTGTATGTTCTATAAGAAAGCAAGCCGAGCAAGCTATAAGGAGGAAGCTAGTTATCAGTGCCCATCCATGGCCTCTGCATCGGCTCCTGACTCTAGGTTTCTGCCCTGTTTGAATTCCTGTCCTGATTTCCTCCAATGACGAACAATGATATGGAAGTATAAGGCAAATAAACCCTTTCCTTCCAGAGTTGATTTGGTCCTGGTATTTCATCACAGCAGTAGTAAACCTAAGATAGAATTTGGTACCAGTAGTGGGACACTGCTGTGACAGACCTAACCATGTTGTTTTAGAGGGGATTGTGGAAGGACTTTGGAACTTTGGGTGAGAAAAGCCACTGAATGTTCAAAGCTTGGTGAGCTCTTCTGTTGAAGCCTGGAAGAAAAAGGTGTTGAAAGAAATGCAAACAATAGAGACCTGGGTTGGGAAGTTCCAGAGGGAAGTTTGAGAGTTACTTAGAATATTGGGGCCATTATGTATTTACCATTTTGAATTAAGATTCCATAGTTTTGGCCACCGGGGGTTGAAGAGTCAGCCATGATTAACAAGAGACCAGTACCATTGAAGTAAAACTTTTATTTTCAGGATATCTTAGTCACTGCTCTGTTGCTGTGAAGAGACACCAAAGAGAACCCTTACAAAAAGAAAAAAGCATTTAATTCTGGCCTTGCCTACAGTTTCAGAGGGTTAGTCCATTATCACCATGTCAGGGAGCATGATGGGTGCTAGAGAAGGAGCTCAGAGCTACATTCGGATCTGTGGGCAGGAAGTGAAATACTAGATCTGTTGTGAGCTTCTGAAACCTCAAAATCCACTCCCAGTGACACACTTTCTCCAACAAGGCCACATCTCTTAATCTTTCCCAGTCTACCAACTGATGACTAAGCACCCATATATATGACCCTATGGTGACCCAATCTCTTTCAAATCACCACACTGGAACAATTTATGCTGCTCAGCTAGAGCTGAGAAATTAGCAGTAATTAAGAAACTAACATCATTGAGGTGAAATCTTGAAAATGTTTCCTGAGAGTCAGCATAAAGAATAATATGTATCTATATCTATCTATATCTATATATAATTTAATATTCTGATCAAACTAGGTCAATATCACTTCCTATTTTTTGTAATTGTTTTTACTTTAGTTTTCCATAAAAATCTTTTAAGTCAGCATTCCAGATTTAAAAAAAAAATCTGGTGATATTTTTGCTAAAGTTCCATTAAGTATATAGGTGAACTTAGGAATAATTCACCTTTTGTGATGCTGTCTCTTGGTCTCCAAGAATGATGTGACCTTTTATTTGCTCTGCATTCTCTCCCTCTCTCCCTTCCCTCCCCTTTTATTCCTGAGGTTTATTGAGATATTTTATCATATGGATTTTGATAGATATATACTCAGCCAACCCTAACCTTTTCTTTATTTTACTCTCATTTTTTGTTGTTTGTTTGTTTGGAGATAGGAATTCACTGTGTAACAGCCTTGGCTGTACTGGAACTTTGTTCTGTAAACTAGATTGACCTTGAACTCAGAGATCCACCTGCTTCTGTCTCTCAAGTGCTGGGATCAAGGGTGTACACTACCACAGTCAGCTCTAACTTTCTATTCTGTGGGGCTCTTCACACATGTGAACAACTCTCTGCAAATAATAATTTCACCTCATTTTTCCAGTATTTACTACCCCTAATTTGAAGGTGCTCACTGTCTATGCACTTGGAGTTGTGTAGAGTACACCTCAGATACAGCCTGTAATATTCATCATGATCTTTCTCTTTTTTATTTATGTGCTTACCTATATGTACATCACATGCATACAGGTGCCCGAGGAGGCTGGAAGAGGGTATCAGAACTCCTGGAATTGGAGTTACAGGAGGTTATGACCTGGGCACTGGAAACCAAATCCTGATCCTCTTCAAGAGTACCAAGTGCACTCAACCACTGAGCCATCTCTTCACCACACCCTTTTTAAATACATAGTTCAAGCTGGGGATGTATCAAAATAATCAAATACTTAATAAGCATGTGCAAAGCTAGTACTATTTTCTCTTAATAAACATCAGCACAGTGACTAAGAAAATAGAAAGTAGGATACGGAATCATAATTTTTAAGCTAATAAAATAATACATACCTCATGCCAAAAACACAGATGATAAGATTGAAAGTGTCAGCAAATACTATACCATTTAAATCCATCCACCAATCTTATTGTGTGCAGGAAGTGTCAGAACCAGTTCCCTTGGATACTGAAGGACACTGTAAGTGCAAAGAACCTAGGTGGATTTGGGCTGCAAGTAATGTGGTGGCCACACCCCATCTGATAACTTCTCCAGTACATCCTTGCCTCTTCCCTATAGTAGTTACAGCCTAAGGGTAAAATAGAATGCAAAGAAATTCTCAGCTTTTTTCAGTTACGAAAATATTGAAGGACCGATCCACTTTCCATTGAGATTCTTGCATCTCAGAGGTCTTGAGTTTGCACCCTCTAGTCTTGATCCTATATAGTTGGGGTCACATCTGAGTCTTAGGCCACACTACCTGCAGGCCGCTTCTGCTACTTGGGCCTCATATGGCACTAAGTACCTAGCCTTTCACAAGTCTTGGCTTCCTCTCTACTAAATCAGGAATTACAGTGATCTCATGGTTGTTAGGAAGACAGGATAAGTGACCCATGTAGAGCACAGCTCCTGGTAGATGGGAAGTACTTCTCCCAGCCTTCTCTATCCTTAGCCTGGTCTCAAACCTGACCAGGTCACAGCAAATCCCCAAGGCTTTTAGGAGGCCAGACCATACAGAGCTTTTGGAAGGCTGGGACAAGCTGAGAACACTCACCTAGGACTGAGAAATTGACCTCTTTTTTCCTAGGTGCCCTCTCTAATCCTGAAGTCTTCAGATATGGGATAGAAATCTATGAAGCCTACAAGAAGACAGCTCTGCCCAGTGACATACTTGAGGAGCAGAGAAAGGTAAAAGAAGCTGATCTAGTGATATTTCAGGTTTGTTTTTTCCTCATATTAATGAGTAGATTCATCCTATGAACAAACACTTGAGCATTACATTTGGAACTAGTGTATTTTAACTATGTATGCAGTTATTTGAAATACCTTTCCTGTTACAAGTCTAATTAGAATACTTTCCTACTTTGGTAAAGAGATTCTTACAGTCAGTGTTACTCACAACCCTAAGTCAGTATCAATCAAGAATGTACTCACTGGCCCATTGGTCCCAGAAGCGTCAGAATCATGGCAGTCTTTCTGCTTTCATCCTCCCAAGCCCCTGTCCCAGACATGCCAGCTAGCTGGGAACCAGATTGCTCTGCACAACTGTTTATCAAGGCAGTTTAGGCCAACTCTTACATTAAATTCTTACCATTAACAGCACAACCTTGTTTCCATCCTCTAATTAGTTACTACATACATACTAATGAGCACACACACACACACCACAGATTGGTATACATATCCACTACAGAAGGAACTAGCCCTATAGACTGACTTCCAGAAGCACTAACTCAATCTGGCCATTCCTACCAGCACTGGACAGGGTACAGTTAACATATATCCCTAATCGAGGCAGTCAGGTAAGTGTGTGATTCTAAAGAATTGTTGCACTGATGGAAATCCAAGTCAAACTCAACAGGAAGAGGGGCTAAGTATATAAGGGCTCTGCTCACTTGAGTCCTCTGAGTAAGAATAGCCATGGCAGCACTTCTGGAGTGCTTTGCTTTCTCCAGATTTCCATCATGCAAGGACTTCACTGACCAAAAGTCTGTTTTTACTTGCCTATCTTAGTTAGGGTTACTATTGCTGTGATGAAACACCATGACCAAAAGCCAAGTTGGCGAGGAAAGGGTTTATTTGGCTTACACTTCCATATTCATAGTCCACCACAGAAGGAAGCCAAGATAGGAACTCAAACAGGATGAGAACCTGGAGGCAGATGATGATACAGAGGCAATGGAGTATTGCTTCCTGGCTTGCTCAGTTTTTGTTACAGAACCCAGGATCACCAGCCCATGGTGGCATCACCTACAATGGACTGAGACCCCTACATCAATTACTAATCAAGAGAATGTCCCCACAGGCTTACCTGCAGCATGATTGATCATATGGAAGCATTTTCTTAATTAGGCTCCCTCCTCTCAGATTACTTTAGCTTGTGTCAAGTTGGCATAAAACTTCCTCACTGCCTACTCTGTGGCTAGCATAAGGAACTGTCATTAGGAGACAGTCACCAGAATAGCAACTGAACCATAGTCAGCTCTACTCTTTATCCCACTGTGCCCATGTTGTGCCCCACCTTTGCCTGCTGGATGTCCTGGGAGGAGAGGTCAGTGGGACTAAAGTATGAATCCTGAGACAGAGCAGTTTCTGCTTGTTGTTCCGTCCCCAGTTCCCACTGTACTGGTTCAGTGTTCCAGCAATCCTAAAAGGCTGGATGGACAGGGTGCTGTGCCAAGGGTTTGCCTTCGACATTCCAGGCTTTTATGACTCCGGTTTTCTCAAGGTATGTTCTCTGGGGATAAGGATCAGTATGAATCCTTCCAGTGGGAGGAAGGTGAGGGCATTTACCAACTTATATTTCTAGTTTGCGTATTTGTATAAGCTAAGTAAATATTCATTAAGCACTTAATGTATGCACAGCACACTTCATGGATGATAAGTACACCCTTTTTTAAACTCACAGAGATTTTTGATAGTGAGGGATATGCATCTGCTCTAATCTGCACACAGGCAAAAGAAGTATGGGGCTGGATACTGCGCAAGAGTGAAATGGGGAATGGCACGGACAGCACTGTTTTCAGCCCCAGCCTTGGCTGGTCTTATACTAGTTTACACTTTTGGGATCCACATGCCCACACCGGTTCGGGGGATACTCACACACCTCCTGTATTTTAGGATAGGGAGTGGGAAACCTGCTAGGTACCATGCACAGTATCTGCAAATGTCTTACTGAGAGAACTTCCTACTAAGCAAATGGCTTTAAATTCTAAAAACTTCAAAACTTAAGTGTTTATGAGGAAAATGACTCAAGTAACCAAAATACTGACCTTCATTGCATGATCATCCTGTGTGAGCTTCACTCACCTTCCCATCAGCCCTGTGGTCAGTATCTCAGTTCTCATGGGGTCTCTAAAACCTAGTTTCCTCCAGAAGTCTTACGTGTTAGAAGTTTGATATTCACTTATCCCTTTGCTGCCTGCTCTGTCCCCATCCCTGTTAGGGCATTAGCTTTCACCTTTAGATGGGTCTTTGGGACATGGGGGAATTATATTTGTCTACCTGGAATGAACCTGACTTTAGGCTCCCTTCTGACCACCATAAACCTCTGTATAACATCACAGAGCACTGTTTTCTCTTCTGGCAGCCACATGATGCATTTAATTTCTTCCCTGCCTGCAGGGTAAATTAGCCCTCCTTTCCTTAACCACTGGAGGTACAGCTGAGATGTACACAAAAACCGGTGACAGTGGAGATTTCCGATACTTCCTATGGCCACTCCAGGTAAACAGGCCTTGTGGGCCTTCTCTGCTTTCCTGACACGCTGAACTCTCCCCCTCCCCACTGCACCTTACACACACACATACACCATGTAAGCTTGACACTCCATTTGACTCCCAACTAGATAGAGAAAATAATAACATTTTATTCTTATTTCATTTTTTTAATCAGTAGCAGTTTAAAGGCTGGCTAAGAAGACAGACAAACAATTTTGATAATGCTTGACCCAAAGTAAAGCCAAACCTGGTCATCCTGTTGTATGCTTTATGAGGATTGTAATAGCCCTGAGGTAGCACCAGGTATGTCGGTATAAATGATGAGCAACACCAAGGCCTGGAGAGCCCTCCCCAGACTTACAATGCTCTATGAAGCTAGCAACACCATTAGCCTTGGTTAGAGGTACTGTAGACCCTGAAATATGAATGGCTTCACTTGGGCCTCTGACATCCTAGACAGAAGAGTGATTAAAGAACAGCCATCTTCTGAGGAACAGCCATCACTTCTGCAATGGCAGAGTGAGTTCCAGCAGGCTAGGATATCCATATGCATGGAACTCCCCAGTGAAGGAAAGAGATCAAGAGGCAGACATCAGCGCAAAGACTCATAGGAGACCTGGGAAGCTAAATGGATGTGCTCTTCCATATGGTGAGGAGAGATACCTGTCTAGGTGTGAGGAAGGCTTGTACCTAGTAGCTGGAGTGATTGCTTTGGCGAATGTAGACATTATGGTCACAAGATGCAGGTATGAGTCTGTGGTAGAACAAGTGCTGAGTGTACACAAAGCCTTGAGTTTGAGCTCCAGCTCCCTATAAGCTAGTTGTGGTAGTGCATTCCCATAATCACCATTTGGGAGGTGGAGGCAGGAGGATCAGAAGTTCAGGGTCATCCTCAGCTACACAAGTTTGAGGCTCACCTGAGATATAAGAGTCCTTGTCTCAAAATAATAAATAAAAATAAATTGTCCCTTTTCTTTCTAGGTTCAGATTCTTACTCCCTGTTTCTATTGCGATGTTGGCATTTTTAACTGATTTGTCAACTCTCTCTGTTAGTGAATTATCCTATTATATGTTTGCAAAACAGTAAGTTTCTTTTATAAGGATATAGTTAAGTTCACTCCTTGTCTTTGTTTTTGCTCTCATGTGAGTTACAGATGTGTATATGTATGTGAGAATGCACTTGCCCATGCATATGTGAATGCTACAGATCAATTTCAAGTATCTTCCTTGATCACTTTCCACCTTATTTTTTGAGATCGCATCTCTCACTGTTTCTGGTGCTTGCTGATTTGGCTAGCCTGGATGGTCAGTGAGCCCTGGGATCTGCCTGTCTTTGCCCCTCTCCCCACATATACTGGGGCTTCAGATCCATTCTGCCACACCCAGCTTTTTTTATGATTGCTAGGGTTCAGAACTCAGGGCCTTATCCTTGCACAGCAAGGGTTTCACGATCTGTACTGTCTCCCTAGCCCACTGTTATCCTTTTAAATTCAGTCACCTAAAAGTGCCTTTTGTATTTGTGATGGCTACTGGTCTCTCTCTGCCCTGCTTCCACCTAGTCCATTTGTTGAGTTCTTCTACTGATCATAATTGATGTTTTAAATTTTAATTTATTTTTTAAATTACACTATTTGTTGTAGCAGAGGAGAGCATGTCCATGCTACAGTATCCCCATGGAGATCAGAGGACAACTTTCAGGAGTTGGTTCTCTTCTTCTACCATGTGGGTCCTGAGGATCAAACTTAGGTCATCACAGACTTGGCAGCCTGTACCCTTAGCCACTGAAACATCTTACCAACTCCATATATTATTTTTATAAAAATTTATTTTATGTTTTATGGTGTTTTGCCTGCATGCATGTGTGTACATCACATGTGTGCAGTGTCCACTGAGAGCAGAAGGGAGTATTTGAACATCTGGGACTGGAGTTACAGAGAGTCGTGAACTAACATGTGGGTCTGGTAACCAAACTCTGGTTACCAACAAGAGCAGCAAGTGCTCTCAACTGTTGGGCTATTTCTCCAGCCTCCAATAGTGGATTTGAAAGAGCTGATTTCCAATAAATGAAATCATGTTATCTGGGAGAAAGCAATGTAAAAACATGTATGTAGGTTTTTGTCCTCTAACTCCACCTCTAACTAATGCTTGGATAAGGGTGTAAGTTTTGAAGAGCATAATGCAGAACACAAAGTGTGACATTTCCAGGGAGAAGCTGGGCTCTTTTTGAAAGATGATTACGATTAGTGGATTAGTGCTGCTCCATTAAGGACAATTACAAGCTGTGAGCATCCTTCTCTGAAGGCTAGCCATTCTCATACATGTCATTGACTAAAAATATGTACTTTGTCCCAGTTTATAACAACATGTAGTAGACGTAAAGGTAAACAATATAAAATATTTTTAAAGTCCACTTAATCTACACCTCCAGAAAGAATTACTTGTAATTCATTTCCTAATGGCCTAGATAGATCCTTACATAAAAATGTTTACTACTTGTTTATTATTGTTGTACATAAACAGTATACAAGAAATACTGCTTAAAATTTGTTTCAATTAACAAGTAGGGTCAACAACTTTCTACAGCAGTACATCATAGCTAAAATAACCTCTCTGTACATAGCATTCAAAGTAGCAGAATTTGACAAATTCATCAAAACTGTAATGTTTAGTGATGGACTCATTAGTTAAGATCTGTCTTAAATTCCAGCTGCCAGGTCTTCTGCTTATAAAACACTCTATCCTGCAGCTATCCAGAAATGAGTTGTTTTCAGTTACTTTGTAGCATCTGTTTCATGATTTTTGAAGGCTTCTTCACCTCATTTCCTCTGTTTAGTAATTTGACTGAGTGTATATAAGATATGGTTATGATCAGTTCTTTCCTTTCTATCTTCAGCATGGTATACTGCACTTCTGTGGATTTAAAGTCCTTGCCCCACAGATCAGTTTTGGTATTGACTTTTCATCAGAAGAAGAAAGAAAAGTGATAGTGGAATCATGGGCCCAGCGGCTGAAGAGCATCTGGAAGGAAGAACCTATCCACTGCACACCACCTTGGTACTTCCAAGAGTAACATTCTGTGCTCTGAGCACAGCTAACAAGCGGCACAGTGAGAGACCTAAAGCATGAGCAAAGAGGGTGGTGCTGTATCCAGAGTAGTTAACAGTGCCCACCAATGAGTGTCCTCAGTCACATGCCATTAGATCAGACATTTCAATAATCAGCTTGATGCATTGTATTCATTCTGCCTGGTCATTATTCACTCACTCTTCATTTCTTTAATATTTCCCTAAAATCTCTCATTATTCTCAACCTTCATATATAGTTTTCTAAACATGGAGGTAGATTTGTTTCATTTTGTTTAACTTGACTGTTTTCCCACACACACACACATAAGAAAGATGAACCCATTTGTATCTAATGTTTTAGTGCTAAATTTTTAAATTTTTTTGCTAAATTTTTATTTACCTCTGTTTTTTTGCCTTGGGGGTTATTTTTTTAAAAATATTTTATTTATTTATTACATATACAACATTCCTTCCATGTGTGCCTGCAAGCCAGAAGAGGGCACCAGATCTCATTATAAATGGCTGAGAGCCACCGTGTGGTTGCTGAGAATTGAACTCAGGACCTCTGGAAGAGCAGCCAGTGCTCTTAACCACTGAGCCATCTCTCCAACCCTGCCTTGGGAGTTATTATGATGTTTTAATTGAGTAGCAGTTTAACTTTTTATTATTAAGTATATACAGTGAGGGTTTTTTTATCATTTAGTACATCAAAGTATTTTACCACTGTTCACAGAGTGTTATATGAATAACAGTTAATAGTGACCCTGAAAGTAGGCATAAATATATGAAGACATTTCCTACCCCTCACTGTCATCACTGCTGAAGACAAGGCTGTTGCTAGCACCCAGGGCCTTTCTTCCTTAGCATTCTCAACACCACCCACATCTCCTTCACCAGACTCTTCACTAAGTTTCCTGTTAGAATTGTCATCTTCAAATGACTTCTATCTGCAGCTTCTTTATATCCCTTTCCACCACTATCCTCTTCAGCAGCAGAGTCAGACCCTTATTCATTTAAAAAACATTTACTGTGTGCACTCACACACATGCCACAGTGTGTGTGTGTATATAAGTTATAGTGATTTGAATGAGATGGCCCCATAGGCTCATGTTTTAATACTTGGTCTCCAGTGGGTGAAATTGTTTGAAAAAGATTAGAAGGCATGGTCTTGTTTGATGCAGTGTGTCACCAAGGCAGGCTTTGGGGTTTCAAAAAACTAGTGCCATCCAGGTCACCAGGCTTGGCTGGGCCATCATGCCAGCTCCAGACCCCTTTTCATCTGTATTTTCTTCATCTTTTTTTGTTGTCATCAGATATCTTTTCCAACTATATCTTTTTGTTTGTTTGTTTGTTTGTTTTCTAAGTCTTTTTCATCAAATACTTACTCAGAACCTTGGCTTCCAAATTCAGGTCTTTCAGAGTCATTTTTTTCTCACTTGTTTTCAGAACCACTTTTTTTTCTAGTATTTTATTTAATTTTTTCACACAATATATATTGATCATATTCTTCCGCTTCCCTAACTCCTCCCCATCTCCCTTCCCACACAACTTCATATTCTCACTCACTCTCAGAAACAAAATGAGGGAAAATGAAAAACAAACAAAATCTAGTAAGACACAAATATCAAAATAAAAACGTAACAAAAAGTCCAACAAAATAAAAACTGGAGTCTGTTTTATGTTGGCCAACTACTCCTGGGCATGGGGTCTGCCCTGGACTGTGGTTGATAGACCCAGTGTCACTCCACTGATTTATTCCCTTTCCCAGCAGGCATCAATTACAAATAGCTTCTTGGTTAGGGGTGTGACTTTGTCCACCCGCTTCTCAGGGTAGGGATTTTGTCTGTTTTGAACTTATGCACATCCAGTACTTAACTGTTCATTTATGTATATGAATGGTTTTCTTGTATCTATTATCTGTGAACCACGTTTGTGCCTGGTTCTACAGAGGCCAGAAGAGGGTACTGGATCCCTCTGACATTTGTGAATAACCATGTGGATGCTGGCAACCATACCCAGATCCTCTGGAAGACAAGTACATACTCTTAACCACTGAGTCACCTCTCCAGCACCACCTAATTTTTAGAAAATATTTTTGGAGGGAGGGAGTGCATGGAGCTGAGAGGACAACTTTCGGGAGTCTGTCCTCTCCTTACATTATGTTCAGAGACTGAACTCTGGTTAGCAGGCACTTTCACCTACTGAGCCATCTCACCAGCCTTTATGTACTTTTTATCATCCCCAAGTTGCTTTCCAGGGCAGTCTTCAGATTCTCCTTCTGTTGTAGTTTCCTTTCTGGCTATAATAAAATACTCTGAAAGAAAACTTAATTTTAGCTTACAACCCCAGGATACAGGGCTAGACTGATGGCTCAGTATTTGCTATCCTTCTAGAGGATTCAGTTTGGTTTCCAGCACCCACACTAGGTAACTCATAACCACCTGTAACTCTAGGAGATGCGATACCCTCTTTTAGGCTTCCCCAGCACATACCCTCATGTGTACAAACCTGCAAAAAAGATACACATATAATTTTAAAAATCTTTACAAAATAAACAAACAAAAACAACAGCTCCAGGACACAGCCAATTTTTGAAGCAAGTCAAAGCAGGAACTTGAAGAAGGCAGGCCTGCTACGTGTTCCACACATCCTTACCTCTGACCAAGGAATTCACTGCATAGGCAAGAGGTATAACAGGAATCATGGAGGAGGATACTTGTTAGTAGCTTACTCACAGATTTATAGTCAGTGAGCTTTATTATTTTTTGTTTGTTTGTTTTTTGATTGTTCGTTTTTTGAGACAGGGTCTCACTAGGCTGACCTGGAAGAACTCTCTGTGTAGACTGGTTTGGCTTCAAATTTACAGATTCACCTGCCTGTGTCTCCTGAGTGCTGTGATTAAAGGTGAGTGGCACCATGTCCAGTAACAGCAAGCTTTCCCATGGGATGGTACTGCCAACAGTGTAGGCTGGGGCCTCCATTAACCGTCAATCAAGACAAGCCCCCATATACATGCCACAGGCCAATCTGCTCTCGGCAATTCCTCAGCTGAGGCTCTTTCTCAGATGACTTGCACTGTGACAGGCTAACAGTTAAAGTTAACTAGGATACCTCTCAAGTTTTGTCTAGATGTTTTTCAAGCCTGTCTTGGATCTTTTTGATCCTCCTTCTGTTGGAACATGGTCAAAAAGAAGGATGCATAGTAAACACTGCCTTGGGGTACTGTGAGAGAGGCTTCACAAAACAAGGCAGAGAACCTTTTACCTCAGGTGCGTCTTGTTCCCTGGATTGTTCTCAGATGTGATTTCATGCCTCCAGTGACAAAAATTTATATTCAATTTCTAGTTGAAATTGTTATTGGTTAGAAAAACACAACTATAGAACCCATTCTGGTCAGTGTGCCTTGAATCTGGCTGGATATTGGCTTATGCCTTGCCTATACCTTCCCAGTTATAAGCTATAGAACATCCAGGCAATTGTATTTAAATTGATCTGTCCTGAGAAAATTCTGGGGAAGGGCTACTCTGTTAATATTTAATATGTGCTTACTGATGTTCCATGTTTTTCTGAACTCAAACATGAGTTCTTGAATCATTGTTTTTTGTTTGTTTGTTTCATTCCTGTATAAAAGTGCACTGAAACAGAAGTAAGGTTGTCTACCCCATTCTTTCAGGTCCTCAGATCTCAGGTCTAGCAGACAAGATCTGCTCAGGCCAGCTAAAAATTCAACACTTTCTTAGAGCATTTTAGTATCTTAAGTATCTTCTTCAAAGGGGCTGGAGAGATGGCTCAGCAGTTAAGAGCATTGCCTGCTCTTCCAAAGGTCCTGAGTTCAATTCCCAGCAACCACATGGTGGCTCACAACCATTTGTAATGAGGTCTGGTGCCCTCTTCTGGCCTGCAGACATACACAGAGAAAGAATATTGCATACATAATAAATAAATAAATATAAAAAAAAAGTATCTTCTTCAAAATCTCTCCATCTTCTGTGTGCCCTTCAAGAATCTTTTCAGGTTCTTCAAGTGCCATTTCAGTGGTAGTTTCTTAGGTATCCATTCTGCATATGCTGGGCTGTCCAAAGAATTCCTCCTCTAGAAACTCTGCTGTATATAAAGTTAAGATGCAGTGGAAATACTGTATGGCTCCAGTAACAGTCACTGAATCCTCCCATCATCTCAGCCTCATGGTTGGATAGGGATTTCCAGCTTCCATTGACTGCAATGACTTGCAACCCCCAAGTGAGGCCACCACATTCCTCCAGCATGCAGAAGTTAAAATTCCAGGCTTCTGACCAATAGCACTTTTTCAGTGGTTATTGCTCTGATATCTCTTCTCTCATGACTGCAGAAACAGGCCCTAGCTTTCAATAAGGAAATTCGGGTTCAGGAGGCCAGGGAAATATGGGCAGTCCCAGGAGAAATGCCCTATATATGCATCCCTGTCTCTCTCATGACTCAGGAATGGGTTTGGCAATTTGGACTCCCCAGTTCGCTTAGCAAACTGTAGCCACAGTGAGCCTGAAAGATGGAGAGACAGCAACACTCATCTTTAGAGCCTCATTCTGGGACCCTGTGAATGGCTGGATCCCTAAGTACTGTGAAGTAGGAAATCTGCTCTGGTCCCACAGCTCCCATTTCCAGTACTGGATGAGAGAACAGGAATTCTGAGTAGAGGGAACCTTGCTGCCCTCTCAGGTTTAAGAAGTCACTTCAACTTGGAAGTTGATATCCTCAGCTTGGCCTCACTTATCTAAGGACATTTATTATCAAGTCTGCCTCCCAAGCAGAATCACTAGTACTTCCAGAGTTGAGATCTCACATATAAAAATCTGTCACCTGCACTTATATCCTTCCTCATCAGAGCAGTGGGAATTACTGCTCTACAAAGAAAAAGAAATGGCCACAGCCATGTTGTGTTATTTATTAAGCACTATTCCCTTAGGAGGAGAGGGCCTTTGTGTGTTTGCAAAATCCTTGGCTCTGTGGAGTTGTTTTTTTTTTTTAAAGAATATTATTTTAAGGTGTGCTGTTTTGTCTTATGCTCTGGAACATTTGTTTAATGATGCAAAGATGTGTTTGATTAAAGAAAATTCACCTGCAGTCTGGAGGCTGAGTCAGCAACTAGCTGTAGGGAGGAGCCAGGTGGAAAAGGGTTTATAAGGAGGGGAGAGAAAAAGCATGAGGACTTCTTGGAAGAGGCGAGGAGGTGAGCTAGGTGAGTTGCTTGCTAGTCAGCCTCTCTGGGAAGCAGGATTCTACCTCAACCTTTGAATCCTGAGTTCCTCAGGGGGATAGAGATTTGGATAAGTTCTCTTAGTAGCTCTGGAAGAGTCTGTGCCTGAGGAAACAGAATTTCCTCAGGCTGAGGCTCTTGCGGCTGGTAGTGGCTGAGCTGCAGTTTCTGACTAGGATAGCTGTAGCTTAAAAGATAGCAACCATTTAAAAAGAGGACAACAGAGTTCTGTTCCTTGAGCAACTCTGAGTAGTGGGTAACAAAGGAAGCACTGCTCAGTGTAAGAAAGTTGGGGGAGTTTTGGAGGAAATCATGGCACCTCCAGTGTCCAAGGGACAGAGATGCTGGTATAAGTCTCAAGGTAGAGAAAATAAGCTCCCCACCCCCCACCCAGCCAAAAGTGACAAAATGCAGGGATAGAAATAAGGTAGCTTGTGAGCAATTTGGTGATGGAGGTGGTATGGAATCTTGGAGAAACACATCTTGTTTCATGAGGCCCTCTCGCTGATGAATGTACCCAGCCCACAGCCTTGCCCTTAAAGTGTTACTCCTCTTGGATTACACTAGTACTGAGCCCCCTTGCTGGGACAGTAGTAATTGGCTCAGCACCACTAATAGTTGTCTGACAAGAAAACCAAGGGCTCTTCTATGGCTGGTTTTCTGACCAGGCATTCCAATACAGACAAGGATTCTAAGGAAGTACAGAGAAAGTAAAATTATTTTGGAAAGTAACTGCTGTTTGGGTTTTGTTGTTTATTTGTTAGCAATACTAGTTATAATGGTGAGGAAAAGTATATAGCATATATATGTATATACAGTGGATGTTGGACATGCCAGGAGCTGCTAACACTGTTTAGTTATATGGAAACTCAGTGAATCTTTATAATACCCGTGTGAGCACGTACAGTTGTTTCACTTTACAGGCAAAGACATTGAAGTAGAGGTAGATTAAGACTCTTGCTCCAAGGTCACAACTATAAGGTGCATGTAGGATTTGAACCTAGACATGGCCCTCTACTGAGCTGGTATATGGTACTGTAGACACTCATCTTAGCTCATCTCACATATCTCTCTGGTCTTTCTGGTGACAACACTGATTTCCCTTTGAATATTTTGTTTTTATGCTGAGCTATGTTGTTTTCACAGTGGTGGTTCCCCCTTGTACCCATTTGTGGCATCAGACAGACCTGAACAATCTGTGGTCCAGAAATAACCAGTCAGCAAGGAAATTAAATTCAGGGACTGATCAGACCTACTGAGAAATAAAGCCTTTTTGTCGCTGTTGGACCTGGAGTTGTGACACTGTAAGTCAAAAACCATACATAGAAAGTGTCAGCCTGCAACTAAAGCCATGCTGAAGAAAAGATTGCCCAAGCTATGAGAGATAACTTCTGGTGGCATCCGCTGAAACATGGACCTATGCTTGTCTCTAAGAATCATCAGCCTTCCAGTTATGTGAGACAATGGACTGCTTTTGGGGCTCAAATGGTTTGCATTAGATTTATATCAATTATAATGGAAGCAAATCTGAGTAATTTAACAAATATGATTATAAAACCTAGCAAAAATTAAAGCCATGTAATTTATCAAAATCTTTTTCTCCCCAGATGGATTCAGTGTATAACAGCATCTAATAAGCAAAAGGTGAAGAAAAAAGGATTAAGTATCTGTCACTATGGCAAACTGGTAGGAGTAGGCATCATACAGTATGACTAGGTGGCCTTCACACACCAGCCAGCCTTTGGTGGTATCATTTTTTCCATCTGTGATGTGAAGAGGTCTAGCCTTCCATTATTACACCACCTAACAAGCAAGAAGCCGTGTGTCCCCAGTCCTGGCATAAGTAACTGTGATAGTTAACTGGATTGGATTAAAAATGTTTATGAGATTAGTGGAGTAGATCTCTGGTGTGTCTGACACAATTTCCAATAACAACTGGATCAGGAGGCTGTCACCTAAGCAAAATATTAATTCCTTCATGGATTTATAAGACTGCGTTATTGGGAGGTACTGAAAGATAGGAGGTAGGGCCCAGCCAGAAGAAGCAGGACACAAGCATGTCCATAAGGACTATATTTTGCCCTGGCCTCTTCATGAATTCCCTTTTATTCCTATCTGAGGTGATCTGAATTGCTCTCAATGGAGTGAAACTGAGCTAAAATAAACTTTCCACCTTTAAGTTTCTTTCTTAGGTATTTTGCTCACAGTAGATAAAAGGCAATAGAAACACTTCTCTCTTGAGCCTCAGAAACAACTTGAAATCCTGTCTGGGAACCCAAAGTCCTAGTGCTGACCTAGGAGGCTGTGTCCACCACTATGTCTAATTTTTATTAGCACCTAGCCATTTCTTTTTCTTAAAAGTGGAACTTATATGCTAAAATGCAATGCATCGGGCCATTTGGTTGATAAAATCTTACTAAGGGTGAACCCTAGTAAGCTTCAGATTGTGTGTCACAAATCAGATCATAAACCACCACACTGGATGTCTGGCTGAGGTGAAGCCCTACTAAGACTCTTCAGCAGACAAATTATTCCAAAATGCTCTCCTACAGAAGCAAAACTTCTATCAGATAAACCATTATGAACAAACATCTAAATGCATTACTAATATGAGAAAGTGAGGAAATAACCAAGCTTTCACCCCAACAGTAAAACTAGTCACTTACAGGAGAATGATAGGCATGTGTGGCACCCCAGGCTGCCATGGTCTCATGCTTACACCAACAAAACTGGACAAATGGAGCCAAACTGTACCACAGGCGTGTGTGATGTGAACAGCTAATCAATCCTTATATAGGGGGTTGGTAACACCCCTGTAATTCCAGCAGTTAGCTGCAGACACAGGAGGGTCACTGTTCATCCCAAGCCAGCCTCTTGTCCCAAGTAAATTCCAACTAGCATGGATTATATTAGGGAGATCTTATCTCAACAAAAGGAAAACATATGCACACATAAACACATATACATGAAAAACAAAAGAGACCATTTACAAAGGGCCTAGCCTTGTGAAAAGGTAGAAAACTCTGCCTTGAAAAGCAGACAGGCTTAGTTCTGGATGAGAAGAAAAAAAAAAAACTTGTCCTATACCATAGAATCTTGGATTGAACCTACGACACCCATATCAACATAGTCAGAAGAAATCTAAAGGAAGTGATCTCAAGTGAAGACCAATCTTTGTTACAGGAAATAAAGAACATAAATTCTTTCTGAAGGAAAACATCATTCCCTAACTATGGGCATTTTTCAGAGCTAAGATAGGCTTTATTTTTATCTATTATCTTTATTTATTCATTTTTTTATTTTTCCATTCAAAAATTTACACTTCCTCCCCTCCTCCCAATCCTCTCTCACTCCTCCACTCCCCCTTCTCCCTCCCCTTCCCTGCTTGAGAGAGGGCAGGGAACCCTGCCCTGTGGGAAGTCCAAGGTCCTCCCCCCTATATCCAGGCCTAGGAAGCTGTGCATCCATATAGTCTAGAGTCCCAAAAAGTCATAACATGCTGTAAAAACAAGTCCCAGTGCCTTTATCAATGGCTTCTCAGTCAGCCCCCATTGTCAGCCACCATCAGAGAGTCCGGATTGATCACATGCTCGTTCAGTCCCAGTCCAGCTGGATTTGGTGAGCTCCCAAGATAAGCTTTATATAAACGTTCAAAAACCAATCACACAAGGAAGCAAAATATGACTTTGACTAAACCTAAAACATCAAACAACACTTAATTAGCCAAGAGTTTCACATAGTAGCATTATGAGACATTACACAAAATAACCATGTATAAAGTGTTTACAGACATTCAAAAGTGGGTAAAGGTTTGCTGTGAAAGCATGGGAACCTGAGTTTGGTCCCAGTAACCATTCAAAAAAAAGCTAGGTATGTACTTCTTGTAATCCAGTGCTTGAGGGTGAAGACAAACAGTCCCAGACTCTACCGGCCAGCCAGTCTACCCTGAGCATCACACCCCAAGTTCAGTGACAGAATGTATCTCAAAAAATAAATGACCAAGGAAGACATCTCAACATCACCTTTGGATTCCACAGAAACAAGTGTGGTTCCCCCACAGTCCCTCCTCCCCTGAGATCTGACCAAGTAAGAAAATGAATGAAAAAGTTAGATTCCGAGACATGGTGAATTGAGGAAAAAAAAAAAAAAGAACTGATATATTTCCTAATTAAATGGATTTCTACAATGAGAAAGAGGCAGGAGGTGAGAATTCTTGGATTTTAAATGTAGACAATGATTTTAAAGAAAACATTAATTGGTTGTCAGATTTAATAAGTGCCACATGTCTCAAGTAACACAAATAAAAACTCATTGGACAGTGAAACTGTTCAACACAAAGGAAAAATTAAAAAGACTGAAAAAGTAGGTAACCTGATCTAGACCTTAAGAGAAAAATGAAGATATTTCAAAAATTAAAAATATAGTTTTCAATAACTATACATTAATAAAGGAATTTCTTTAAATTATGTGTCTTTTTAGAAGGACAATAATGCAAGAAAAAAGAAAGGCTAAAATGCAGTGGACATGGGGAACAAGGACAGTGGGGAAAGTGCTGACTCTAAGCAAATGATGAGTATGAAATAATAATATGGTCCAATTCACAGTGTGGCGGCTGGAGAGGAGAAAGAGTTCATTTTAGCTTATGGCTCCAGAGAGAGGAAAAAGAGTCGATAATGGCGAGAAAGGCACGGAATGCCTGAAGGGATGGCTAATCACATACACATGCAGGAAGCAGAAAAAGCAAGCAGAAAGGGGACAAGACTATAAACCCTCATAAAAAGTTTGAACCTACAAAGATTCCATCACTTCCCAAACAGTACCACCAACTGGGGAGCAAGTTTTCAAATATATGAGCCCGTGGGGAGATTTCACATCCAAACTACCACACCCATCAGAATACAATAAGTGGCTACCATAAAGACCATAAAGTGTGACTTCTTTTTCTTTTATGTTTATTCAACAGAAAGCAATCTCCAGCTTCACTGAGGTGGCTGAGCATGTCCATGAACAAAGCTGCCTCTAAACTGGAATGCATTTGTTGAGTCAGCCCCAGCCTCAGTTTTCTTGTGAGCCCCAGAGGGTACAGCACTCCTGTAGGTGTCTCTGTCTGTCTCCTCTCCTGTGAATCTTGAAGGTTGCTTACCTCTAGAGTCTAGAGAACTCAGTACTTCTCAGCCTTTGGCAAACCTCTATCTAGGAAAATATTTACATTATAATTCATAACAGTAACAAAAGTATAGTTATAAAGTAGCAATGAATAAAATTTTACAGTCGGGGGTCATGAGAGCCATGTGGACATATGCAGTCTGTGACACTGCCTGATGTCCTTGGGCTTTGTTGCTTCAGGGCACCATGCTGATGTAAGGGACGCTGAGGACCATGAGTGGGTCAGTGGTCCTAAAAAAGCCAAGGACCGTGTTGATGTCTATGGTCCATTTTACCACTGAAGCTCATGTGGATGCCCATGGTTTGGGCTGCTGTCTGCAAGTCATGCTAACATTTATGTGTGCAGAAGGCCTGGCCCCACCACTCAATAGCACTTCTGCACTCACACATGTGTATACATACATACATACATACATACATGCTAAATAAATAAAATTAACCCCAGTTCTGCTTCAGACTGGCCGGTCCTGAAATTATATTTTTCTGTCAAACCCATAAATCCTAGTTTGGCCTGAGCTGAGATCCTTAAAAGATTAGGGAAACTCCTTGGACAGTAGACTAATGCAACAGAACAGAAGATCCAGAAATAAGCCCAAGCAACTACAGCCACCTGATCCTACACAAAGAAAAAGAACAAAATTCAGCCTCTGATAGTCACATGTAGAAGAATGAAACTGTATCTTCATCTCTCACCATGCAGCTTAAATTGTAAAGACCTGAAACTATGAAACTACTAAAAGAAACTATCAGGATAAAGGCATAGAGGCTAGATTGATGGTTCAGCAGTTCGGAGCTAGTACTGCTCTTAGGGAGGACCCAAGCTCACTTCCTAGCACCCATTTGGGCAGGTCACAGTCACCTATAAACCACTGTAACTTCTGCTCAGGAGATCCAACGCCTCTGGCCTTCACAGACACCTGCACACACACTCACACTTTATTTTAACTCTTAAAGGATTTAGACACAACAGCTTTCTGAGTAAGATTCCAATAGTTTCAGAAATGACAAGATCTGGATTCCAAAAACCGGACTTGTCCCATTTATCTGATAAGGTCACTTAGTCCTTGATGTGCCTCAGGCTACAAAAGAGCCCCCCCACACACACAGAGCAAAGCAAACAAGTGTGACTGACATTCCTAAATACTTGGGGCTGTGCATCTGCTGCCCTCTGGTGTCAGTCTGAAGGGAGCCTCAGGTTCATCAACTATGGGCTAAAGAGGGCACAGCAGGGCTATAAAGCCCAGATCTCTATAGGATAACTCTTACTTCCTGAGGCATCTGTACACATTTAACTAATGGGTTTCCTTTTTGCAGCTGTATGTCCTGGCATTCAACCTTTCCTCTACATCTGAGACAGCGACCACAACTGGGCTTTTGGTGATCAATGATATTTATTAAAAGCTAGTTCTAATCAGAGAAATGAAAACAAAACTGAAAATAAGGTATGATGCCCTAAAAATAATCAAAATCCACACTTCAGAAAAAAAGTAATAGCTACCTGATAGTGCCATTTAAGGAGGTGCTCCAAAATTTGACCAATTGAATCCTTTGGATAGAGCCAAAGGCAAGCCTTGTACACAGTTCCCTATGTCAAACGACACCTAGGTCAGTGGCTCTCAACCCTTTATGAGGGTCAAACAACCCTTTTTACCAGGATTACCTAAGATAACTGGAAAATACATATATCTACATTATAATTCATAACAGTAGCAAAATTACAGT